TATATATATATATATATATATATATATATATATATATATATATATATATATATATATATATATACACAAACACAAGACCTCTTCTTGTGTTTCAAAGAGACTACACAAGTCGACAGATGAAATAGAGGAATTTAGAGGGGGAAAAAAGTCAGAAGATAGATAGTAAAATCTATCTTCGTTTTGATTTGAAATGAACAAAAAAAAGAGAGTCATGTTTTCTGGAAGCAGAAGTGTCACTTCTGGAGAAGAAGAGTGAGTTTCCTCGGCGAAACTTATGTCAGAGTCGGTGCCGATGAAAGACTCGCATGATAAGGAGGTGAGATAGAGACGAAGCTAAAAAGGGAGGTGGATAATGTGGTGACCCACTTTGCGGGGCGCCCTGCTGAGATGCTAACCATTGCAGCAATAAATAACACACAGCGGGCCAGCAGAGCTTAACAGCTGCTTGGTGGCAGTTTATGCCCCCTCATCCCCTGGCCTGCAGCTCGTAGCCATAACCTCATATTTTTATCCATCACAGCCACTTCCTATCTGCTGTCTGACCACAAGCTTGATTCATTAGCATCCGACTGATTGAGTAGAGATTAAAGAAAAACTCAAAAGAGCTGTTTGGGTCTTTGTTAGTGTGAACGCTTAGACAAAGAAAACTAACATATTTGTTTACATTTACCAACAAATATTAATCATTAGCTGTTCAGGCGGAAAGCAAGTCAAGCTAGAAAAACGACAATAAAAGTTTACTTAGTGTGCTTACAGAAACATAGCCATCAGTTATTAACAACATTTTTTTGGAAGAGGCTGGGTTTTGGTGGGTATGCCAAATACATTTTAACTCACACAAAAATGCTTTAAAGAATAAATACATTTCAACATGTTTTGATCAGAGTCATGTCCCCGCTGAACTGACCAACATGACAGATCAACACCTGCCTGCTGTGGCAGATTTTCACTTTTATACTCTGGAACAAACTTCTAGAAAACTGCAAAAATGCTGAAAACACAGAATTCCTTTAAATTACGACTGTTTAGAGCTGCTTTTCATTAATAATGACTGGAACATCATTCAATATGTACGAGGCTGATTATTTTTGATGATTTCGATGATGGAATTTCACAAAATGTGATGTTAATTGCTTGTTTCGTTATTAGTTACTGCATTACTTTTTAATGGAAGTTTGTTACTGAAATGGGCTATAGAAATACTATTTCTATAGCACAAATTTACTTTTAAAAAGTCCACTTATTACAAGACATTTTATTGAATTTGTGCAATAAAATGAAATTTTTGCTAATAATTCTGTTATGTTTTGTTTGGGAGAAAAAAAAAACCCTCATGAATGAAAACTCAATTTCTCAAAGAATCTGTATTCAGTGTAGCATCTCTACTGTCGAATAATTCAACCCAAGTTTGACCAGCCTGTGCTCTTGCCGGCCACTCGATCGGGTACAGCCTTTCAGATGCTTGTTAACAGAAGCAGCGACTCAGCCAAGCAGCAACTTAATGCATTTAGGCTTGTAGACATGGTACAGATTACTTGCTGGAGTTCAAACCAAGCTTCAGAACAGGCAAGAGAAGGAAACTTAAGTGACATGGTTGTTGGTGCCTGACCTGCTGCTCCGAGTATTTCAGAAGCTGCTTATCTATGGGGATTTTTATGCACAACCACCTTCCTGTGTCCAGTGAAAATAGAGAGAACATCCAGGGAGCATGTGCAGACTGGTACAAGATCAAAGAAAATCAACAGAAGCTTAAACCACCACTCACTATGGCCAAGGTACGCAGAATACTGTCTCGAAACGAAAATGTCAAATCTTAAAACAGGTGGACAACAGCAGCAGAAACACCAACTGGGGGCTGTTGCTGTCATCTACAGGACAGTTCCCACAAGCTCACCAAAAATGGACAAGAAGAGTTTGGAAAAATGTTTTCTAGTCCAGTGAGTTTCCATCTGCAAAATTTAGATGGAATAGGCAGGGATCCATCCGGCATCTACGGTGGCCCTGAGGTGCAAAACACTACAACATTAACGAAGCACAATTACAAATTACAAAATCACTACATTAACGAAAACACAACAACTTTAACGAAAACACAACGACATTAACAAAAACACAACGACATTAAGAAAACGGAAAAGGTAGGTCCCAGTGGAGACCTAAGAAATCGCTGATTGGACTACAGCTCGTTAGAAAACGGAAAAGGTAGGTCCCAGTGGAGACCTAAGAAATCGCTGATTGGACTACAGCTCGTTAGAAAACGGAAAAGGTAGGTCCCAGTGGAGACCTAAGAAATCGCTGATTGGACTACAGCTCGTTTTACTTCTGAACCGGAAGTTTTTCTGGAGACCCTTTTCACAGTGATGTCAGACAATGGGCGCCGTAACTCGAAGAGATGTATCTTTACTTCTGGTGTGATTTTGCCTCGGGAAACCTGACTGAAAAATTCACGGATACTCATTAGCTTAAAGATATACTAAAAGGTAAGGTTAATTACAACAGCATTTACGTGTTAGCCGTTATTACTCATTGTCAATCCACCATTCTCTAACTGTGTATATAATAAACAGCCTCCGATCGGAGAATAAACCAGCTAGCAGCAGCTTTAGCCACAGTTGGGAACATATATACACCGCTGTCTGTCAGTGCTGTAACGTTTAGAGGTTCACTTTCTGTATTAACTTTAATAAAACAGTATTGTTGCCTCACAATGTACATCCATCTACAGTCACAGTATGCACATCTACTGCCTAATTTCATGTGACGAAGTTCATCTTAAGCTAGCTTGAGACACGACATGTTCAAAACTGGGGTTGGACATGATGGGTGTTTTCAAAATGTTCCAGTCCGTAAGATTTGGTTCCACTGAGGACCAAAAATGCTACATTTGTTACATTGTTACATTTTCAGCTGCTGCGGTTCGCTTTCACACTGCACTGTTCCCTCGTCCCGCCTGTGGTGGCGCTGCACCAACAGCTGCTGAAGGAAACAACACATAAACCTCAGAAGAAGACGTGAACGCAACCTCTGATCTTAACTTATGCAAAACAATGAGATCGTATCGTGTTAAAAACGTATCTAAGGTTTCTGAAAACTTTTTTCTTGTGCACAGAATATGCTTGTTTAATATCCGTTCATGATAATAGTCTTACCGGTGGACTGCTGCAGTCCAAGTTCACCTCAAAACACACGTTACCAGGCAGAACACACTCTGACTTTGTCCGAAAGCTGCAGATCCCTGCTCACCACCCAGTTTGTCATCAAACACAAAGACAGGCGCAGTGTACTTCAGAGACCTGTTCGAAGCTAACGCTGGAGGGACCCATGTTTGTGCTTCTGTGTTTGTCTTTGTGTGTGTGTGTGTGTGTGTGTGTGTGTGTGTAGGCGGTAGGTGGGGAGGTGAAGCCACTCGTCCTTGTAAGGGGTTTTACCCTGAGTACTGGTAATCAATCAATAAGTGATGTTGTGTGAAGAGGTCACAGTGACATGGGACTTTTTTTCCCTCCTTTTCTGTCTTAATTTCCAAATGAAAGCTGCTTCTTTTTTGTTGTTGTTATTGGCTTTTAAATTTATGCACACTCATAGGTATAATCCTGTATAAGATCATTTTATGCCAAACTCAGCATGGCATTAAAAACCCAGGGAGCTTCACGGAGACCCTCAATGAATGAAGCCAATCATATTATGTTTCTCATGCTATGGAAAAAGGCGTGAAAGCAGTCACTCAGGAACAACTGAAGACATTAGGTTCTTTATTACGGCTGTCTGGAGAACAGAGTGGAAAGGAACAGAGGAATATTACCGCCATGCATCATCCGCATGGTGTGGGCACACTTCACTAATCCTGAGATGAAAACAGTGCAGAGTTCCTGGGTAAAAGGTAACCACACACCTCAAACTGTGAAAGATTCTGTTGGGATTGTGTGCTTGCACTTTTTCAGCAGGTGAGCCACTTCTAAAATCCCCAAGTTAAAATGATCTACCTACTTCTAAAATGCAAAACATGCATTTATTTATGTAAAGAAATTGAGAATTCTTTATGTGTTTCACTCCGTATGATAGTGGTAAGCTTTTGTTGTCTTACTTGGTCCGGCTCTCCGTCTCATTTTTATACCCTCCCTAAAGTTTAAGAGAAAAACCGAGAGCTAAAAACTTAAGGTAACTCGCTACCCAGCTAGTTTTGCTGAATTTAGCACTGTTGTTTGCACAGGCGCAGTGAACCCAAGTGTCAAGTGATGTTGAAAGTTTGGAATATAGTTTAATGACTTAATCCTGCTTTAAACTCCTTAACAACTTCATCCATGACATATCTGGCGTTTTTTTTTTTTTGTTGTTATTTTTGATGCCATTTGTTCACAAATGTTCTCTCAACAAACCCCTGAGCTGTCATAGCAACATACTGAGATACTTATATAAAATTAGACTGCCACGTGTTAATTGGGTAACATGTGGCAACATTTGTTTGCACTTTGGGTTATTATTAAAAAGGGGAAACTCGTTTTTCGTTTTTTTCTGTCAATAAAAACAATCATTATTGCTGGATGATATGGCTACAGAATATGTCAATATAACACTTTCATATCAGATAATACTAATAGTTATTCAACTGTTTTTTTTTTGTTTTGTTTGTTTGTTTGTTTTAAATAACTGAAATTTAGCCAAACTGGTGACGTGACATTTCCCTCTTTTGCTCACAATTTCTTCTCAAGTTGCTCTACTCATTATATTAATTTTCTCCTTTCATTTCACATTGCTTTTTTTTTTTTTAGTTTTCAGCAGTTATCAGGTACGGTGGCGAAACCTGAAACCGCCGCTACGCGAGTCACTCAACAGGTTGTTGCTAGGGAACCAAAGTGAGCTGATTAGCTAGCCGTGAGAGGTTGAGCGGCTCAAGTCTTTCCTACATCGCCCAGGATGTTTTGCGACTCTGGATCAGAGTTCAGTGAAATTATTGAAAATTCCGTAGCATGTATTATCTATTGATACTGATCACATGTCTGTCGCAAAATATATAGTTATTGATTTATTGCCCAGCTCTACAAACCATGAACACTTCTGACTTCACATTTACACTTATGTACTATTTTGTCTATCGGGAAATTCCAATAAAATACACAGAACTCAGCGGTTCTAATGTGACGAAACGCTTCAAGACTCTTGAGGTTGGAAAATAAAAACATGCAACATGATTATCAGACCTGTTGCCAAAAGTCAGATAGATGTTCATCAACCCTTCCTGACAGAAATTGCTTATTTTACTCATCTGACAGGACTTAAAAGTTGACATCTGTCCTTATGTCCAATAAAAAAAAGTAACAAAAACAAATTTTAGACCTGTACAACACAGTAGAACCATATAATACAACTAAAAGTTTAAAATCGCCTCCAGGAAGTCACTGAGTGCCGTTAGCTTTAGTGGATGTTTTCATTACTCCAAACCCTCCATCAATAAAAGGTTATTGCCTTTTTTTTCTTTTCTTTTCTTTTTTTTTTTTTTTTACAAAATGAACGTTAATTTTTACATTCATCTTTTAAATGAAATATTAAGCATACAAAAGGGACGTATTTTAAAGAGCCAGACACTTCTGGGCACATCAAACACATTTTTTCCCCCCTCCAGCAGCTCTTCATCTGGGAGTGCTGCCACACGGGCTGCATATCACATCCTTGAACTGTTGTAAATTTTGATTGTCTGTTCATTAATGTGTCATGAGCTTTTTATGGATGTGCCATATAAACCATTTAGAGGACAGCAGAAACATTGTGCATGATCTCAGTGACTGAGAGGATTTCCTGACAAGAGTCATCACCGCCAGCCATTTGCTCTGTGAGCTAATCACCAGCTTTCTGTGACACGACGAGCGGCGCGCGCAGTCAGCAATTTTGGGGACGTTGTGTTGCCCGGCAAAAGTGCTGATTAATACAACTTGTGCGCTATTTGAAACCGTATTGACAGATCAGAAGGAAAAAGAACAAGAAGCTTGGGAGAGCGGCGGCTCTCGGTTGAGAGAGAGGAGAGGAAAACGGGAGGATGGTGTGATGAAATGTCAAGCATGAAAAAGCTAGGTGGGCGCAGTCCTTTAATTAATTGACTGCGAGTAGAAGTGTGGTCACTGACCCGTGCACGGGATGCATTATCAAAGACCAATCCACTTCACTTAATTGATTAAGTCATGTGGCTGCAGTGAAAACTTAGCTGTGTCATTTTAATAAAAACTCACGCCTTTGTTTCTAAAGTCAGGTTTTGTTGTTTCTGGTCAACTGTTGCTGCTCTGGAGTAAAATCACTTAAATTATTTCATTTGGACTTTAAATTTGATTTATTGTTTCAAACTGGAGCTTTCAGATTTTCTCCACTGCTGAACCAAAAGCAAAACAACATTTAGCTTCAGTTTGAAAACGAGGTTTGGGAATCCTGCCTGTGGATCAGTGAATGGAAACTGGAACTTTGTAGGCCGTCATGATCAGAGCTGCCAGGAAGAAGAATAAAGTGTGGATGGAAGAGCTCACCATGCTGGGTGCTGTGGTGGTGCAGGGCTTAAGCATAACCCACAGATGGACCCTTAGTCCTCCATGCGGCCGTTGTGGGTTTGGTGACCCGGTGACCCTTGTAGCATGTCTTCTCTCTCTCTCATTACCTACTTTCTTGTCTTAGCACTTTCAAATAAAGGCCAGTAAAGACAAGAAAAAACTTTAAAAAAAAGATTGCCATGTTTGCAATGAAGCACAGCGTTGGCTCAGTAATGCCCTGGACTTGCTTTTCTTCTCTGGAATCATGAAGAATCCAGAGGGAAAAACGGATAAAAATGAAATATGAGAAAAATCACTGGAGAAAAAAAAGTCATGTTGACTGTGGGGATCAATAAAACAGGCGTCCTGTGAAATGCATGTAAACAGAAAAAACCTGCTGTAGCGCAGCAGAAAGCAAGTGGGAGAGTGTGAGTGGAGTGCACACAAGCATGATTAACAACGCTAAGACCTTCCTCCCGGCTCTGATTGGTTGTTTCCGACTGAGTGGTGTATGTCTGTAGTTAGCACTGGATGAAGCAGGCATAGGAGCATTTTTTTTTATCCCGTACTGTTTTTTAAAATAAAAATGACATAGTGTAGCTTTAACAAGTCAAAGCGGCTAAAACAAAACTAATTTTGAGACTGCAGCAGTCATTAAAGCTTTCACTGTGTATATAATTTGGACCACTCACCTGTATGTCAGTCGTGCTGAGCTATTTAATTTGTTCTTACTATTTTGTTTATGGCAAACACTTGCTGGTTTGTGTATGTTGCCAATAAACCTAATTTTAGGTGCTGCCATATCTGAACGGAATCAGTAGAACTGCTGTAATCTGAATGTTTTTTCTCTCTCCTCTTTGGACTTGTTAAGCAGAGTGAGCTGAGCTTTACAGCTTGGCTGTGAATCCCACCCATAAAGCATCACCTTGATTTCATCCTCATGACTTTGACAAGCCCTTTCTGTTTTGAAACCGTGGCAACGTTTTTAAAAAAAAAATTCCGTGTAAATGTAAATAATAGTAAAAAAAAAAAAACTTTAAGGTAACATTATGTGCATTTAATCATGTTGGTTTTTCAAAGGGCAGACAAAAAAAATAAAGAATAAACCTTCTCACTCTAGTTGCTCTCTCTCTCTCTCCTCTCTCAGAGGTGTGTATGGACAACATAAATCATCTAACATCATAAATCTCTTTGATAAATGGCCGGAGAAACATAAGTCAGCTTACATCACAATTGATCCGTTCGATAGCCCTGAACTTTGAAAGCTATGTATAGAACCGACCCTGTTGCAGTTCCACTCCGTGGTTATTATTCAGCGGGAAAGAGTCGGCGCGGGCGTCGGCTGTTCATGCACCGTGGGCGAGCTAACCTGACGGGACGGAGCGGCACGCAGGCGACTGCCGGGTGGACAGAAAGCGATGTAAGACGACTTAAAGTCATCACAGGAACCACGGACATGCGCCGTGATAAATGACGCCTCGCCGCGTAGTTTTGTGAAAAATCCTCACGTGATTTATGTTCCGTAGCGCGACTCAAATGGCTCTCGGTTTCTTTCATCACTCTCATAAAAGGGCCGTTCATTGAGGTGTTCTCTTTTTTAAAAAAAAAAAAAAAAAAAAAAAAAAAAAAAAGATCTGTGTGTATGTGGCAAATGCTGACAGTTCATAACTTCTGGGTTGTGAAGCGTGCGGCGGCGCGGTGGAAACCTGAGTGTGTGTGAGGTTTGGTCGCAAACAGCAGGAAACCGTCAGGATGAAGACTCATCCTGCGACGCGAGAGGGTGACCTTTTATCTCAGCCATCAGGCCAATCAGTGGGTTGCTGTTTTAAAATGCCAAAACGCAGCATCAAGATCAGCCTGTCGCTTTTTTTTAAATCAATATTATGCAAATAGTATCAAGTTGTGATTTCTTTCGTCTTTTTTTTTTTAAATCAAAGTGGAATCAGGATGAAAGAAAAATAAAAAGAGCCTGGCCGTTTTGAGGTTTATGACATTTTGTGCTGCAGGTCGTTTCCTGCGCCGGTTTAAACTCACCAGTCGGACTCTTCAGCCGCTTCTGCGACTAACTGTGCTGCAGGAAATTACTTTAAATTTGAAGTTGCAAAAATGGATGTAAAAACATCTACATTATGTTAAAGAAAAAAATCTAAATTTTTTTCGGTAACACTTTATTTGAAGGGGGCTGAATCAGACTGACATGACACTGTCATAAACATGACATAACACCTGTCATGAATATGAATAAGTCTTCATGAATATTTATGACAACAGTCATAAATATTCATGAAGGCTTATTCATGTTCATGACAGGTGTTATGACAGTGTCATGTCAGTCTTATTCAACCCCCTTCAAATAAAGTGTTACCATTTTTTCTTATTATTACATTTACAAAGGAATGAGGATAAAAATATACAAAGGTTTTCTCAAATGTTATTTTGAAAGCTCCACTGAAAAAAGAACTATGTTGTTGTCTTGTTTTAGGCACCTCAAAACATTTTAGTTAGACATTTTAAGATGCAGAATATCGCGACTTTGACTTTTTCAGTTTGTTTTGGTTAAACAAACCAACAATGAGGATTAAAATGACACTTTCTGTTATCATTCACTGCATGTTTGGCTTGAAGTCATGATACACAAATAGTTACATTTACAAAAGTTAACAGTAAAGTACATGGAGGACAACAGTAAATGTTTTCCTAACAAACCTGACCAAAGAAACATCGACCATGACTGATTTGCAGGTAAAATGTTTTGAAAGTTGCAGAAAAAAAAGTTCTTTGTGTATTGATGATTCTTTTCTAATGATAATAATGATAATACTTTGCAACTTTCTGTAGCCATCCTGTTGATTGAAATTACAAAATGCAAAGAAAATTATTCATGTTAGCTTGTCGCTAAAAGTAATTGGCCTGATCAAAATGCTCATCAGTTAGAAAATCTGTTTTTAATCTTGCAATTGCAACATGATTACATGTTGATATTCTGAGAACTAATTTCCAGTTTCAGATGTAAATAGTACATTGCACTGCCAACACTTCTACCCACTACTGAGTTTGTATGAATATTTCAACAAATTTCATCTACTGCAATTATTTTTTTTTATTATTATTATTTTCCAATCAAGTAGAGGTCAGTGTGCTGGAACAACTCATTTATTTGAATATTTGACATTAGTAACTCTGGACCACAGAGTTAATTTGTTCAGACCTTGCAACTAATTATTAAACCTGAATTTATTCGGAGGCAGCCGAACTATTCCGAGTCGTTGTACCACAGTCTGACATACCTTTTTCTTTTTCTTTTTTTTAAATTAATCTCCATGTTTGACAAAAAAAAAGAAACAATTTCTATTTCAGCTACATATCTGACTTCATCACTTCCTCAAACACTAATAATAGTCGTCTTAAACAATTCAGCTAGATGCTCGAATGAACTTTTAAACTCCAAATGAACGTCGGAGAGGAAGTGAAGCGCCGAGGCGCTAATGTTGAAATGCTAAATAGAGGATATGGTGAGCTACTGTGCTTAGTCAAATATTCCAGAGGGGGAACCGGAGTTATTTTGTTGTTAAGACTCTTACAGTCGATGTGAACAAAGAGCTTCGGGGCCGAGGGCTGCAGTTTGGATTCACCTCCTCATACCGTCAACTTTTCTGCCTTTCACCAACTATAAATGACTTCTGCAGGTTTGGTGAAGGTGGAAGTTGGTTTTTCAGAATCCCCTCCTAATCTTTTATGGGCATTTGATTGCAATTTAACAGACCTTCATTTGACAGACCTTAGTTAATGTATCAGTAAAGTAAAGACAGACAACATGCTAGTAAAAGTAAAACCCAGGAGAATATGATTAATACTGTGGAAATTTTCAGAATCTATAAAAAGAAAAAAAGTGAAATTAAAATGAACTATATAACCAGAATATCAGCGAACAAATGAATATCCAAATATAGAAGGTTCCTTCAAAGAAACAGACTGAAAGAGACGTGCATAAACAGAATTTGTATGTTTATTTTGACCAGTGGTTGTGGAAAGCATAGCATAGTTTCTATAGAAACAGATTTTTTATTTTCTCCACTTTAGTCATCTAATGAAAGTACTGTAGTAAACAAAGTGGCTTTCTTGGTATAATGAAAGGACACAATAGTTGTTGCAATGTTGAACTTAACCATTATAAACAACAATAAAATAAGATATTTGTCTTTTTTTTGGTCAGAAATTTGGTCAAAATTCATGTAAGTCATGTAAGATCATACATTTGCTTTTAAATTCACAACCCAATACATTTATAAAATCAATCAAACTCTGAGTATATGAAACATCACATTTAATCAGCGTTGGATTCTACAATAAGACTGGTATTGTGTTTCACTAATCAATAGTCTCTCCAGGATGTTCCAAAGTTTTTTTTTGTTTGTTTTTTTTTTTTAATAATTGCTGCCTAAAATTATTTTTGATCACTTTATGGCACCTTTTTGAAAAGCTTTTGCAATTTTTTTTTAGATTTATTTTTGCCGTAACATGGTCTTACAAAAAAAAGTTTAAATTGCTCCACATAATCTTTCCAAAAAACAAAGTGTTTCTATATGTTTCCTTTAGATGGCAGTTTACTGCCTGCTGCTGCTGTCAAACTCCAGTCCCGCACTGCAGTCTGAAATAACACATTCTGTCTTGTCAAAAAACTAAAATAAAAGAAAAGCAAAGTGTAGTTTTTCTTCGCTTGTCTCTATTTTTCTTAAATCACAGCCAATTCTTATCCTAAAACGGCATCAGAGACGAGCTGCTGCAACACTCATGTAATCTGCATGTGATGTAGTTTCGGTGTGGCAAAAAAAAAAATAATAATTCAACAAAGAGCACCACTTGATAAAACTATATCTTTACCTAAATTGATTTTTACCTCTTTTTTGTGTGTGTGCCACCGTGAACTACTGGGAATACATTTAAATGTCCAGTTAAAAGTCGGCCGAGATAAAGTTCAGGTGCTCTTCCTCTGAATTTAAACATGCAGAGCTCGCCGGTCAGCAGGTTGTGAAAATCTCAAGTGTTAAAGAAAAAAAAGTCTCCTCTGGGAGCCAGACGGGGTTCGGGGCGGAGGGGGAAGCGTTGGTATCTTTAAGTCCCTTATCCTTCTGTAATGGACTTGTAAAAGTGCAGACCAAGACAGTCAGAGGAGGGAAAATGCTGCACATTTTACGGCTCTTCCTAGACCACTTACAGTCCTCCTTCCACCTTGTGTGACCTCCCTAAGATTTTTAGCATGTATTTTTTTCGGCGATGTGCAAAGGTTAATGCAGTGAGAGCTGGTTGAGAATGCATGATACGATGCCATGCATAGTAATGGGATGAGTTCAGGGGACAGAAGGCAACGGCTGAGAGTAAAAATAAAGGAAACATAACTGACAGTCTTTGGTTTCGATATCGTAAACCGCTTCATCACACCAGACAAAAAAAAAAAAACTGTCTGGGGTTTCTCGACTGCTTTAGTGTCATTTTGATGAGCTGAATCCAAAAATCCCATAGGTTTTGCTCGATCAGGTCAACTTTCTGAACTATGGAGCAACATGAGGTCCAAAATGCCTGACTTGTTCTCACATTCGGATCGGTTTCCTGAGAATCTCATCAATGAGTGATGAAATGTTATCAGTGCTTATTATTCAATTTACAGAAATCCAAGTTTGCAACATTTGATTAATACACTCAGAAAACAATTTTTATTTAATCCTAAAACTTTTTTTGGATGAGAAATATGAACGGAAACAAACTGGCAATGACATCAAGTAGGATGATCGGATTTCTCTGAATCAAATTAGAAAAACAAATGGACCAGATTGAGAAAAATGGATGTCATTTTTGGATTACAAAACAGTCCTAATTCTTGTTTTATATATGATTATATATGATTAACTTTAATAAAAAGAATATGTAACAAAGGCTAATTTATTACTGGGCACACGTTGGGGATATTTTTGGGGATTTTCACATAAAAAAAAAAGCTGAGCTGATTACAAAGAAAAAGAAACTATAAAGTCAATTC